AGATTCATCCGGTTCTCGACGAGATTTCACATGTGTGTGTGTGTGTGTGTGTGTGTGCGTGTGTGCGCGCAGCTTGCCGGCGCGCGTCGGAAGGGCATCGGGAAGCCATCTCCGCGAAATTAAACGATAAATCAGTAAATCGTTTCGCAGTGAAGTGATTAGTGCCGGCAGTAAAGTCACTCGAGAGTTTGAGAGGGCGACCGGGAGAGGGTGGAAAGAGCCGGTTCGAATTCCAGGAGAGCTGGGAGAGCTCGCTCCGCGTTCTGTCCTTCCCTCCTAGTTTTCTCGTTTATCCTACATATGCTTTTCCACGGGGCTCACGGTCGACGTCGGGGACTCGTTCGTTAAATCCGTACTTTTACGGGCGATACGCGGCATTTCCAGCCAGAGAGATTCTTCTTGCCCCCGTATCGATTTTCGACTTCGCCCGGTACAATCGGCAACATATTGCGGGGGGGTAATTTGCACCCCCGGGGGAGGGTTACCCATGGAGGGTCACTCAGCCGCAAAAACTCACCGACACGTGAAATGAAAATTTATTCTCGTTATCCGCACCGAAGTCGACCTGGGTGGTCCTGATTACAAATAAATCCGCCAGCTGCCACTTTGACAGTTTCTTTGAGTTAGTGTTGTGAAAGAGGTTTTTCACGGTAAGCGACACGCACGCGAGGCGCTTTCCCCTCTATATATATTTCATTGTGAAAAAGAAAATCTCTTTATTTCTGCGTTTGGTGTTCTGACATATTTGATTTGCTCGATTACTTCGAAGTCTATATTTGTTTATTATTATTTGTCATTTGTTGTTACTTCTGTTCTGCCATTTTGCTCTTTGACGGTGGAAACTGATTTGTTGGATACAGCGTGTTAGTTTTTATGATAGTTCACATTTGCAGAGACTGAGACTAGGTAATTAAAATAACTGGTTTAATTAATGAAATGTGTGTGGATTTTGCGCGCGTATAAATACATCCACACAGCGTACATACCACACAGATAAGAGTGATATGCCAATAAATTTTAATTAAACATCTCGATATAAATTATCCACCGCGCTCGAAGCAAACTTTTACGCAAAGCTATTCGCTTTTTATTGAAAACTAGAAATATGTTCTCTTGTTATTTGAGTAAAGAATAATTGAAGACAAGAAAAATGTGTCGAATTTGAATAAAGATTATTATAGTCAAATATAAATAATCTTACTTTACTGAATAAAGTTAATAATATCTATATTTTTATTTTTATATCTCTACCCTTTTTTTTTATCGCAACATTTTTAGAGACGTCTGTTTTCTCGCGATTGAAGGCAGAAGAAATTGAAATCTCACTTAGACTGAATTTAATAAAGCTATTATCACTACGTAATAATAGCTTCTTGTATATATATTGCAATGAAACCACGTACTATGAATCAAAGAAATTAAAACGCGATAAAAATAAATAAAATTATCGCACTCGTTCTTTTTTTTTTTTTGTCGAAGTTTTATTCTTATACTCTTTTACTTCTTAATCGTCGTATAAATATTAATTAGATGATTAGACATTCAGATAACACGTATAATTATAGTCTAAATAAAGAAGGAACTTCAAGTAATCTGTTATTTAACGATATTTTATATAATATGTTGTTGTAAATAATTTTTTAAAAATAGTTTATGTATTTTATATGCAAAAATCTTTACCTTTAATCTTCGCATAATGACGGGAGTTATTAACTAATTAAAAGATTGTGTGGAAACTCGTGTAAAGAGAGTGTAAGTAACAGGTTTATTGTTTCGTTTTCTAATAATATTAACAGCTATAAAAATTCCCCCGTCTGTTTCACAGCGATTTTATCCATTGACCCACGGTGATTTTGATCAACACGTTTTGCAACTAAAAAATGACGTTTAAATTTCTGTGATCTGATAACGCCAAGGGATTCGACGTATCCATAAACATTTTACGACACTTTTCCGACGCAAAATGGCCTCGGAAATCACGTATCACACATTTTGTGCGCGATTCCTCGCGAGATGACACACAGATAAAATCTCTGTATTTTTATTTCTACGTAGTAACGCGCTAACGTTCCGCGCAGCGAATATAAACTCAAATGGCATTAATAAAAATAAGAAAAACCTCCCTCTGTGTGGAAGTTACTATTAGAGATCATCTTATTATAAAATTTTGGCGAGAGATATATATGTGAGAGATCTAAAAGATATGATCATTTATAATAAGTCAGTATTTGTGTGGGTTTTGTTTAAGAACAGGGGATGAATAAACAATTTATTTAAAAAAAAAAACACTTTTAAATTTATATTTTTACCTAAAATATATTTTTCTAATGTCAAATTACGCAGTTCTTGTACATTGGAAAATACTACGTTTACACATAATTTCTACGTAGAAGTATTATACTTCTGTGTAGATTTTTGTTTTACACATCTTTATTCATATACAGTCGGTATATAGCGCAGTAAAGTGGAAATCTTGTTTTTCTTGGAAAATAAACTTTTTTTTACCATTAACATTTAATATAATTAACGTGTAACAGTTCACCGTGAAAACAGAGAGAGAAACATATATATTTGTTACAATATATAACATCAGTCACACATATTATACATAGATATATAAAACGTTAACGTTATCTGTGAAATATTTCTTTTCTTAAAGAAACCAACTTCTTTCTTCTTTTTAATATAATAACTTCAATGCGTATAGGTATTGGTACATATTGATTTTTATATAATAACATCAGTGTGTCGTTCATATAGAGGACGACCAATTGTACCGATATGTATGTCATGTAACATTACAACAAACAAAATGTGTCGCTCTGACCCGCATATTGGATCAATTGATGAAAAATTCATAAAAAACACACACTTAACATGACTGACTACTATACACTAATGTTTCACCAATAGAATGAATAAATTTACAAAAATCGATAATAAAACTAAAAAGTACATGCAAATATATAGCACATTTATTTACATTTTACTCTTTATAAAATATTTTTTAACTCTTAAATTGCCAATATTAAATGTTTGTTTGTAAATGTTGTTTTATTTGAGCGGAGTACTTATTATACATATTTTAAAAACTTATTATACATATTTTAAAAGTACATATATTAATAATTTTAAAAAATATAGAGAGAAAAAAACATAGAAAAATTGTCAAAGTTCTATTTGGTGAAACATCGTTTTGACATCGCACCAAACTTTCAGTGCTATAATTTTTAACTGATATCACACGCACGTGAACACGCAATTACTCACACACACAAAGTCCTTATATCACTTTCTATTTTTTATACGAAGTGTAAATATCCGATGGATAGCAACAGTAGTATCATATTGCTGCTGATAAGTTTTATTCTTCAGAAGAACAAATGTCGAATGCTGGCTCGTAATCGCACGTGTTTGCGTGACAATTGACGCCAAAGTAAACGTTTTTCTCAGATTTTTAACTAGCTCGCACTTTAATCGTGGCAATGGTCAAAATTTACAAGTTGGAGGTTTCGAATTGCTGCTTCATCAGTCTTATCATCCGTATCTTCGCCAAATACGGTACGGTGCAATTTATTCATTTATTTTTGAATTTCTGAACAAATGCTCTAAAAAAAGAATTTTCGAGCACCAGAATCGTCGATGTCGTAAATGGCTATACTTAGAACGAGCTGTCAATAAAAACACTACGCGCAAAAATGAGTGAGCGTTTGACATTTGTTTTTCTAGAAAGATGAAATTTGTCAACGACAACAACAATGTGATACTACTGTCGCTATCTGTGCGTCGTATCGGATGACTTATCAATCGCCCCACGTATTTTGACAGATTTTATAATTGAGTAAAGTATTTTCATATTCAATTCATTTTATTCCACGTTGCTTTGGCACGTAAAATGTTTTGTTTAACTAAACCTTCATTAGGTTAAAAAAAACATCAACTATAAATGCTTGAGATTTTTAAATCGGTACATTTTTATAGCCACTTAAGTACGCAAAATAAATATGGTATTATTGTTATGAAATAATTTATAAAATAAATGTTATGTGAAACAAGGAGATTATGTTAAAAAAGAATGTTTTTTTTAACCGGTCATTTTTTTATGTGTTCAAAGACACGTTACGGTGTGTCTTCGAACGATCGATAGAGAAGCGATATATGAATGGCAGAAGTCTCACTCATACGAGTACAACATACATTGGTCAAAGTTATATAACATTTGCTTTAACAACTTTGCACCCTGTAAACAGCAATACACATTACATTACACAACACGCTAATGTGTACGCATCGTTAAGCGTAATTCAAAACTCGTTTACTTAAGTTATTACATAAAATTCTTGAAACATCAGTCTATATTATTTATGCTAACAATCGTTACTTGATATACCGTTAAATTAGAAGCTACAAATAAGTATTATCGAACTGAAATATGCAAATTCAAGACACTTGAAGAATGAAGTAGCAATTTAATAATTTTTTTCTGCAAATCTCTTTCAATGTCTTACATCCGGAAAAAAACGTCATTTTCACATACATATAGCAGAGATTCTCAAACGTTGTCTAATGTGTGTGTAACATATACATACAAGCTATTGCAGAGGATTTCCACACTATTTTACAGATTTGTTTGTTTGTTTTTTTTTTTTTTTAATTTTAAACTCGTTTGTTTGTAGACGAGAATGTCAATAGTTTTTGATAAGTAACAAGAGTTTATTTTTTTCTTCTGATAGAAGTTTGACAAAATTTTTATATCCTGAGTTACAAAACTATTTATAGTTGAGCATTGAGAAACAGTTATCCGGTTCTCTTCCAATTTCTTTCTGCAATATTATGTGAAGAAAAAAATAATTTCTTTTTACAGTAAATAAAAAAAAAAAAAAAAAAAAAAAAAAAAAAA